AGGTCCCTTCCAAACCAAACCATTCTCTGATTCTGTGATTAAGAGTAGTGTTTATCCAGCTTTTTTTCTTCTTTCCTGACGCATCTTCTACTGGGTATTGTGAAGTAGGATAGTGAACTACATGGAACTTTGATCTGACTCATTAGAGCCATTTGTTTCTCAAGCGCAAAAGACAATGCAAGACAGTCATTCAGAAACAGATCAACAGGCTTCATTATTGACAAAAATGGAGAGGAGGGGGTTTATACAGATAGATTTTAAAAAGGGGAAGGAAAAATAAGAAATCGATCTTACTATAAAACCAATGGGACAAAAGATAGCAGAGAAAGTAAAAGAGACAATACAGGAAACTGGAGCAGCTGGGATGACTGCAACAAGGACTGTGAAAGTAGAATGGACTGCAAATAGACAAGAGTCAGAAGAGAGATTTGAGCTTTGTGCATAATAGTGCCTCACTTTGATAAGAGTGAAATTGTTTGAGGAAATAGTTATGCTGATATAACTGAAGTGAATGACCTCTGGAGCTGTTTTGAAACACATGATGGGAAAAAAATGTGGATGGCAGAGGTCCAAGTAAAAATACCAGAGCAATCAGCATGAAATACGAACTAAAGTTTGAGCAGCAGGGTTAGTCAGGAAAAAACAAATCTCAGTAATATTGAAGTCATAGCAGTTGTACAAATTAGTACAGATATGGATAGGAGGCAGAATTGTTGGAAGCTAAGGATTCTGGTCAATAGGTAAGCGAGATTGCAGAGCTGTTTGTAGCAGTAATGAAAAAAGTGAAAAGCAGGTACTTGGAATAATATGGGACATCTAAGAGGTGTTTTTGAAAGCTATTTAATGAGAAGGAAGTAAAAGGTAAATGAGAGATGCCAAAGTGATAGAATGTATTTAGAAATTCAAACAGTTATCATGGGTGCTCTGTTAGGTTAACGGTTTACCAATAAGGTAAACACATCAGCTGTCATGGCATGAAGTGCTTATAAGTTTATATTTTTGAACTGTATTCATTAATAGTGATCAGACAACACAGTTTCACAAACCATCTTGGGCAGGAAATTGCCATAATCTGAAGCAGATGCTGTCAGAAGAATCTTCAGGTAAACAGTTACCATGTTACTGGAGATAGCAGTGACTGTAACATTAAAAGTATTTCAAAAGGACATTATGGTTGGTGTAGTGATTATAAGTTATAGTATGTATATAATGTTTCTAAAACATTTTGCTTTTTTCTTTTTGAAATGTATAGAAATGGTCTTTACACCTTTATTGAATTCACCTGCAACACTGACCCTTCAGAAGGAATTAATAGCACACTGTGTATTCAGAATCAGAGCACTAAAAGTGTTGTATCTAATAATTTGATTCTTTGTAAAACCTTTTGAAAGTCAAAGCACTGTGGTGTTAAAAAAACCCGCTCTTTATTAGTGATGGAGTTATAGAGGGATCCTGTGCAGAACTGGAAAAGATATAAGGGACGAAATGTAGTATTGATACTTCCATTCTTACTCTGACAACAGTTATTCCAACATATTCTAGTTACAAGAATGGCTTTTATATAGGGATATTGCCAGCTGTGGCTTGGAAAAGAAGATTTCTTATAGCCTTACGTCCTAAACTGCTTCCCAGAATCCAGCTTGGCCACATTTCCTGCAAGTATAATTTAAAGAGTTAGTCCAAAGGCAACAAAATTGCTGCATTTGGAGAGCTGCATTAATTTCTTGATGAACAATGTCAACATGCAATCTTAATGTATGTACATGCTCAAGTTGAAGAGCATTCTGAAGTTCATCCTATTACAAATTTAACACAAGGGCAAGTGAATTTACAGGATAGGTAAACAAGTCAGCCTTAGAATGTAAGGTTTGGCAGTGGACAGCAAAACAATTCACAGAACAGCTAAGGAAAAAACATGAGAGACCACATGCTGCTGAATGATTCACATATGATTCCAAATAAACATGCTGCTTACAGCAGAGGAACAGAGAGAAAGAGCACTATGGAAAGGAAGGCTGTTGTTCTGCCTACCGTGAAGGGTTTGTGGCTACTAGTGGTGGTAGGGTGGAGGAAGTGGAATTTTATCCTGGCTGAAGAACTCTTTGTCAGTATGAGAAACAGAAATAGGAATAGCATTTCATGCTCCAAGAGATCTCCAACAAGTATAAGTGAGAACCTGAGGGGTCCTGGATACCATCGATTGCCAGAAGTCTCTCTCTAGAACTGTTTAAGGTAAAAGAAAACTGGGAATTCTGAAGGAAATGTAAAGTAAGAAAGAAAACGTATAAAATTCAAGGGAGAGAGGAGACTGCAAACAATTGAACCAAAGATAAGGTGGGAAAAGATGAGCAACTGGACTAGTGTATACATGTTCTGAAAGGTCATAATTGAGCTGTGTTTTGTCTTGATAGTTCTAAACAAAGGTGAGATTCAGGACCAGAGTTTTTGTTTAGAATACATCACTGTAGATCCATTTAAGACAGACACAAGTATGGCAAGTATGGCATTCTTGTTTTCTGCTCCTAAACGTTTTCTGTGGTGACTAAATGGACTTTTGTGGTGGAAGCTACCATTCTGAACTAAAATCTAATATAGTTTTTAAAAAGAAAGCAATCACATTATCATCTACAGAGCACTTAGGGTGGCTCTATTTTTAATTAATTAGTGTTTTATTTTTTTGCAAATAATTACTTTACTTTCTTTAAATATTTCTTGTAGGAATTGCTTTGTAGCAGTAGATAATGCTTCCAAGTAACCAAGGTGGGACAGATGTATTGAATGCCGTATTTTCGTAGCATCTTCAGGATTGCATACTTGTTGACTTAGTGTTTCCAATGTGTTAAAGGAAAAAGTGGTTGATGTTAATTGCCCTGTTAAAAAAGCCAATAGCTTCAATTGTAATTGCAGATGGAAGAAGCTGCAATAAATTATAGATATTAAACATGGAAAAAGAGCACTTAGGCTGTTCAGTCTTTCTGCATGTAGGGAGTATCCTTTACAGGAAAGGAACTACACAGAATCCATAAGAGATGCAATGCCAGTCATCCACAAAGCTGCAACCATTTAGCAAAATTTTGATTATTTTTTTTTTCCATAATGTAGGCAAGGGAAACTTGTGGGTTCCCGGTATTTTTTTCCAGTTACAATGTACTTACATAAAGGATTTACCAAGATGCATCCTTTAAAATATAAGAAAGATAAGCAAATTTTCTTGGGACTGGACAAAAGAATGGCTTGCACTTAAGTAGCTGTGATTCATTGTAAGACTACCTACTGTCCTATTGTTTATTCAAATGCATAGATGTTTTTCCAATTTTTGCATGAATTACAAGCACTTGGGTTTACTACCATACATTTTCAAATGGGAGAAAATTTGTAGTAGAACTGTTTGGTACAAATGGGCATGCTAGCCCAATGCTTCCAATTTTAAACAGTATTTTTCCACAAATGCTTTCGATCCAGTACAGGAACTGAGGCCAGGCAATGTTTCTGTGCTGTTCGTGCTCCCTCTACTGTTTTCTGGGAAGCGTGGAACGGGAGAATGTAGCTGGTTAACGTACTTGGTTTGTGAAAAGCAGACTTGGTGGAAGAATAAAGGTCAAAAAGAGAGTGGAAAACTGAATCCGACCTGGGATCTTAATTTGTCTCCCTGAGTCCATTATTTGTAATGTAGTCTTTAATTATATGATCTACAATTTTCAACAGAGTTTTGGTCCTCTGAGATGAGTAACTGTTATTTAATGTACTTTATCTGTTGCAGAAATTAAAAGCCACTTAAGAAATGCAGTGGTACTCTGGAAATAGAAAGAAAGGTTTTAAGAGTAAAGCAACCTCAGTTTTAGTGTCCCCAGTCTTCCCAGTCTTTGAATGTTTTGTAACTTTACTGATAAGGTTACAAGGAACATAAGGGATAAAAATAGTATTTAATGAAAACCAAATGTTATATTACAGGCAGTCCATATGGTGTTCAATATTAAAAACACAATTAAAAAACATTATTAAATATAAGCATGTAAACTGATAACAAGTTGCATATACATACACACACGTAATTATTTTGTTGAAAATTAAATAATGGGGATATAGTAGGATATTCTGAATCTCTCCAAGTTTATGCTGAGCTACAAGATAAATGTTAATATACACTAAAAAGGCGGGGGGGGGGGGAATGAGTGGATAATGTTGGTCTTGTTAAAAAAGAATCTTGGCAAAAATGCTGTCAGGAAAGTAAGCTTCAGTTTCATTAAGTACATCAAATTGGTGGAATGACGATATGAAAAATTTCCATTATTGCCCAGAGAACAGTAACATCCTTATTTTCTGGCTAGAAACAAAAATGTAATAGTTTTATGAAATTGTTCATATGCTTGATGGAATAGTTTTTATTCTATCGTCAAACTAAAAGATAAAATTAAGCAGTAATAATTACCTGAGTTATTTGTATAGTCAGTAAGAAGACTTAGATTAATATTTAATCAAGATGATTATAAAATATTTCAGAAAAGTTTATAAACAAAAGAAAATTAAAATGGTGAAGAAATTATTCAAAAACACTGGATTTTTTTTACTTCTTGTAGAATGTACTACTCTACAGAATGTGATAAAGGGTCTAACACAAGCTGTTGAAAACCAGTGTCATGTGAAAGGTAAAAGCAAAAACGTTCTTATATATACTGTATTGTAATTTAAAATGAGCAGGCATTTAAATTTTTTGTTTATATTTACTAGTTCTTTCAGAGAGAGAAACTTACCAGCAGCCAAACAGAAAGGAAAAAATACATATCTAAAATCAATCCTGTGCAGATAGTGGTCATCTATATGCTTAATAAATGTCTATTACTATTATCCTACTTAGAATCCACATGTAAAAGAAGTTCTGCCTCAGTGAGGTTTCTTTTAATCAATAGTTGGGCTTTAAATTTATTTCAGCATAGCACAGGCAATTTTAGAAAAGGTAAGAAAGTATCCTTCAACTTTTGGACTGTAATCTATTACTTTTGGACTGTAATCTAAAGCATTTATGCATATTTTTATTACTTTGTTAAAATAAAGAGTCTTAATCCTCAGTGTAATGTTAAAATTTAGCTGTTATCCATAAAAACTTGAAAATTACTCATTGCTATTTTAAAATAAAATATATACATATTTGCTATATCTTTATACCAGCATTTAGCTGTAGACTTTGTAGTTAATTTTATACCCACTGTCTTTTCAAGGCATATTAGCATAAATATTAATAAACCTCTAAAAATCAGAAGTATATGGCTGCTTTTAGTACTCAGAGTGACTTTTAATAATCAATAAAAGCACCTGCTTTTTCTAAATTCTGTTTTTGAGATACTACTTTCTAATTTTTGGGTAACAAGTACTTTAAAAGTTGCATCTTTCAATAAGAAGCTGTTGTAGCCATGATAATAATCTTTTATTTTCTGACCTACAGAACTTTGCATCTAGATTTTCTTGAATGCTTCAGTTATTAGAAGGATAAAGACAGTTCAAAGTAGTAATAGCAGACAAATATTATGATTCAACTATGAATTTTCTTCTTAAAAAATGGAGACTGAGATTATGTAGTTTTGTAAATTATGATTATCATGTCTACAAAAAATTTTTTACAGTTCAGACAAGTCAAAAAATGAAAGTAATTTCCTTATTCTGCTTTCGTGCTAATAATACTGTCAAAATGTACTTTTTAGTGTATCATATAGTTTTTTATTTACGTAGATGAAAATGATAGACTGAAGGGTACTGTTCACATCTTGGAAGAGAAATTAAAGGCTTGTGAGCAGGTACATCACAAATGATCATTCTTTAGGTAGAGGAATAATGTTTTATATCTATTGTAGCACTTCATATATCTTTATATTGGGTTTGCTACTGATACTCATGAGAAGAGTTGTTCTCATGACAGTATTGATGTAAGAATGTGTTAGCGGGACTAAGAGGTCAAAACTACTAAGTGCTGAGAACTCTGGCTCAATCTAAGATGCACTTATTTTTTCTTAGCTGTATTTAGCTAATTCAACTTTACATTCTAAAATCTAATCCCTTGCATTAAAATACATTTTTGTGTGGGAATATGGTTTTGATATTCACAATGTCTGCTGTACTGCCAGAGAATCCAGAACTGTCTGAATTTTGTCTGTAGTTTCTTTCAGAGTAAATGCTACAAAGATAATAGGTGTCTGCTTTTTATCTGTGTCTCGTAATAAATTCCATTTATGATCTTTCTACTTTTTATCTATGCCACTCATTTTTGGAAAGGTGGTAACACCAGCAGGGCTGGTCACAAGTTGCATTAGTTCTCTGTGCTAAGATTGCAGATCTGTTACCTGTGTAGGGTTAGGAATCTCACTGATGATTTTCTTTGCCTGTTTGTACTAACTGTGAGTTAAAATTAATTTTTTATACCAATAGAGCTGTTATCTTGACAGTTTGAGAATGAAATAAGTAATGCCTTCTGAAAGGCATGAGAAAACTATGATTCTATACAATATATATATGTATGGGCATGGTGGAACTTCCTAGTGTTGTTCTGAAGGCACTTACCTGACTATGCGCCTATATACTATCACTACCAAGCAGTAACTGCCTTTGTGCCTCCGAGCATTGCTCTGGTGAGTGGCTACTTACCTTGTCAGAAGGCAGCTACAGCCAATTCCTTGATAATATTTTGGAGTAGTTATTGGAGCAAACTTACGATAGGCATGCTCAAACTCTTCACTTGAGTATCAGTGCCACCAGCATCACTACTGCTGCTATGACTGATGTTTCTATTGCTGCCAGTATGAAGTTGCAGAATCCTTAGTATAAGCAATGCTAACAAAATTCATACTATAATTGTGAGTTTTATTATACAATCTTACAGTCAAAAATCCACAAAAGTAAAACTGTAGTCACCTAACTAACTGCAGCATTGTATCAGATCCTGGATTGGGGGAAAGAATATTACCTCTTCATTTGCTTGTTCTCCTAATAAATACAATTTCTTATTTTATATTAACTGATAGCTGTAATACAATGAAATCTGTTACATTTTTCATCTGCGGACTTCAGCCACATGTAAGAAGTAATTGGGCATTTTGAATTTACTAGATCAAGGGTAAAACAAGTACTGAATTATAGAGTACTGTATATTTTTACATTAATGTTGTGCTTTGCAGAAGACTAAAAGTGAGATTTTTATGAAGATTTTTACATTCACAGGAATATAAAGATCAGATTGAGAAACTTATGGTAGAAATTAAAAACAAAGAGGAAGACCACAAATTAGAAATAATACAGCTGAATTGCGATATAAGAAAAAAATGTAAGTTCTTTGAAGACTGAATGCTATAGCATTGGGTAAACCACATTGTAACCTGTAGGAGCTATACTTCATTTACAATACGTACAAGTTCCACTTCTTAGTGGAAGCATATGAAAGCTAGAAGTGGACAGTGTTTAATTGAGTTTTATCTTTGCTCAAGAGAGTAGAAAGTGGCAATGAGGGAGTAGTACAGCAACAGAGGATGAGCAGAAATTCCCAAACAGGTAGAACAGACACTGGGAACTTGGACCTAAAAATCTGAAGGAATGAAATTTTGGGTTAAGTGTTGATTGCAAAATTGCATTGAACTATAAGCTAGACTGCTGTTAGAGTGTTCCAGCTATGTTCTAGAGACCAGGGCATTCTTTTCACAAATAAATAATACTGCAATGAGAAAAAGCTGGTTTCAAGATTAAGTTTTTTCATTGCTGGCATAGCCTTGAAGTCTAAGGTTTTTTGGTCATCCACTTACCTGAAAAAAGCCAAACTCTTTGTAAAATATGACGTTGCTTTAAAGAGACTCCATCTTACTGGGATGGATCAGGGTGGTTTACACATAGTTTTAAAGTACATTTTTGGCTTGAATGAAATTGTTTTCCTGTGAAATACTGAACTGCTTTTCAAAAAACTTTTAATATTTAGGAAATCATGTTATTTTTCCATCTAAACATCTTCTATAATCATCATATTTGGTGTTACTGTGTTACTAGTTGAAATAAAAGAAGTGGAGTATAGAGAACAGAGAGAGAAAAAAGAACTGGAAATATTAGAGCTAACTAGACAGCTGAAAATTCAAAATGAAGAAAAACAGAATGAAATAATTAAACTACAGATAGAGGTATGCCTTACAAAGCTGAGTTGAAGATCAGTTGGGCATTCGGTAAACTTAGAAGGGACTGTGTAGTGAAAAATATTAATTAGTATTTAACAAAGTAATATGATAGAATCTAGGAAACTTAAACAACTATTGTCTTTACAACCATGAGTGGCATGTGCTCCCTTCCATGATGGTATCTGAGTTGCTTCTGCTCAGGAATCAAGTTCTAGCCACTCTATAGGGAGACTGAATTTGCTGTGTTCTTGTTTTAAATTATTTTGAAATTTTTGCTAGTTTTTTAGCTATTAAAAAAATAAACAATGTTTTTATTTTTATTCTTTTTAATCTCTGAATGCTGGGAAGATATATTTTTTTATAAACTTTGAAGACCTTAAAGTCTTCTAATTCTGCAGAGATGTAAGTCACAGAATTCAATGCATATTTCATAGCTCAGGTTTTAAGCCACTCTCATTACAGGAAAAGTTAAGGAAATACTTCACACCTTTCATATATTAAAAAAGAAATTAGGTGTGAAAGTGGTTGGGCTGAGTTATCCTTGGAACATCAGGGAAGGGTGATGCTTTCAGAGGCTTTTAACATCCCCTGCATTTTTTTCTCCTGCAGACACATGGCTGTGGAACCTTCAAATTTTTTTCAGTAGTCGTCTTGTCTAAATGTATTTGGATTATAATATTTGTGCTATGTATTTTTTGCAATATTTTGAGGCATTTTTTAAAGAAACATAACTTGTAATTGCACTCTTTTTAACATAAGTAGCTTCAGTATCCTAGGTTTAAATATTAGATAAGCTTGCTAGTACTACTTTCAGGTACAAAATACATTTTTAAAAAAGTGAAAATTATACTCATGTCATTTAAAATATTTTTTTTTTCCTGTTGGGTTCTTAATGTCGTGTCTTTTCCTGATTCTTTCAGTTCAATGCTAAATTAGCTAGAGTTCAGAATAAAACAACAAAATCATTTTCAGATGCTTCTGTCTTGCCACAAAGTATCTATCGAAGGGTATGTGCTTTAATAGCCTGTAGTCTGCAGATACCAAATACTGTTACAGTGTATTTCAAACAGCAGTTCCTTGGTGGTTTACTGTGTGTGTTCTGCAACAAAACTAGGGGGAAGGGGGTGGGGGATGGGGTGGAGTTTCACGCCTTATGGGTCCATCTCACTCTCCCACACATCCCACGCACCTCTAGACAACTAATTTCATGTCTCTTTGCACAGATGTTGATATAGCTTGGGTTCAACAACAAGAGCCCACATGTGAAGTGGGTTTAGGGCAGAATTGTTAACCTGGGAACTTAAGATAGAACTGACCTAAATGACTGTGATATAAATTATACACATGCATTATTGGTTTTGTAGGCTTGGGACTTTGGGATGTCACAAAAATAGGATTCTGGGCAAGTCATCTTTGTAATTTTGTGATACAACATACTGAGAAAAATATTCTTATTAGAATATTTCTCATTAGTAACAGCATATTGTATTGTTATGTAATCCTATGTGATATTTTCCAACAAAGCCTTTGCTTGCATTTTTACAGAAGCTGCAGCATCTCCAGGAGGAGAAAAACAAGGAAATTGAAATTCTCCAAAACACCATAAGAGACTTAGAGCAACGTCTTAATAAAGGCCAAAACCTGCACTTCAAACGGAAGCGATTTTGAGTAAATACCATGAAGTATTTCAGTAGTACCTACAATAAGAAACAGAAACAGTATATTTCAAACTGCGCACCTGAAAGTAAAAACAAAATATGAAGAAATACTAAATATTTTTTATTGAAAACATTCTTGTCAAATATTCCAGAGGCATGCATTCTGTGTATATTCAGGACTACTTTCTTGCTAATCAGTATTCACAATAAAAAGATTCAGGTTTCGCAGGAGTAATAATTTCCCTATTAAACCATCATTAATTATGGTGTACACTTCAAAGCCATTTTCATTTCTTGAATATTCTCTTCTTCACCCAGGAATCCTTCGAACCATATTTTTACTTCAGTTAATCAAAGGTTAGAAATGATAAGCTACAGAGAAGTTATACAAGTTTAAGTGGTATGTTACCTTACTAATCAATACAGATTTATCAAATTCAGCAGTGTTACAAACACAGATAAACATTAAACCAAGATTAAATTTGTTCTGCCCCTCCCTCTTTTTTGATACTCATTCTGTATGAAGAGGTGTTAACACTGCTTCTCACTTAAGGCACAATCTTATTGATTTAGTTGGATTTTACAAGCTGTAGTACTATATATTAATGGACCTTGATACTGTATGTGTGCCACAAAAGTTAAGCACATCAATCTGTTACTTTAAAATAATGCAATTACTGCTTGTATCTTACATTTGAGAAAAAAAAGTTATTTTGGCACGTTGCTTTGGAATAAGCTTTTCTTGTACATAATTGTTATTCCTAGGTTACAAAAAAAAAAACCAAAACCAAAACAACCTTTTGAATATGTCCCATCTTCTTAATAAAAAATGATTAAAATATCTGTTTCAGTTATCTTCTATTCTTGATTGCAAAACATCAGAAAGGAGCCCCTAGGTCATAGTTTATGCTCCTGTCCTCACAAATGCAAGCAGAATGTTAGAAGAGAAAGAAGACAGACAACTTAATCAAAAATGCAGACACCTTCCCAGTGTAACTGAAAAACAAACTGTGGGTTGATTAAATTCCTTTAAATTATGAAGCTTTTGACTGATGGAATTTGACAGGTATTGTATGATCTTAAGAGCACTGCTCTAAAAGTCTACTTCTTTGCAATATTTCACCTCTATACACCTGTCAGTATAATTTTTAATTGAGGACAATAAAAACACTTAATCATTAATTTTTCCACTTGTAACTATATGAATTTAGGTAGTAGGACTCCTTTGCATTTTTAAGGTGCTTAGTTTGTTTTTCAGGCTCAGTTTCTTGCCTTTTCCTGTCACTGTCAGGTGTCACTAGCTTCACTTGTTCCTGCTGCTGGTGACTGTCAGGCAGCAGTGAGCAGACGTCACTGTCAAGATTCAGTGATGTCCTCTGCTGACAGCTGGCCATGTCACCTGCAAGAATTTGGAAGTGCTCCACGACACTGTCAAGTGACAGAATTTCCTAGCTCTTCAAACAAAAGGTGTCGACAATGACAGCATCAGCTACTAGAAGTGGAGTCTGATGCTGTCTGCCAATTTCAAGTTAACTGGTTTTTACAGCTGTTTTTCCCTTTTTTTCATAGCTTTTTATCTTGTGTAATTTCCACACTTTCTCCTGGAGGAGCAGTGTCTACCTGTTCATGACTACCTGTGTGATCATGTCTGTTATGGCCAAAAACTCTACGATGCTGACCGCTGTGAGGATGATGTCTTTGACTTTCGGAAGGAGTCTGATGGTTCTCATTTTTGGAATGACGACCACCCTCACGGTGGTGGTGGTGGTGGTGTCTATGTCTGTGCAGACTGTGGTGATGTGAATGTTGACCAGTTGGTTTGGGTTCTATCTCTGATAGCTTTTCATCTGTTTTTTTAGTGATGTTTTCACATATAACATCAATATCAGGTTCCTGCAAAACAGAAGCTTGCATTAAATACAAGGCATTATATTTAATTAAACTAGTTGTAAAATATTATCTTAACATTTTTGCAGATCTTGAAACCCAATTTTTAATTATTTGTGCTACTTTGCTGAAGAAAGATATGAATGTATCAAAAAGAACCTTGTTTTACAACACCACTGATAACTAGACTGGGATCTTAATGTAAACTTTTGGGAATTATAATTCAAGTAATTGCTAATAAGAAGTATTCTTTTTCTAGGATCCCACATCTGACCTGCCTGAGGCCTACACTTAGCTGGAAACCTGTATGATGGGATCAAAAATGATTCTTCTCATTGAACTTTCATTACTAGGTATGTACAGTTCTTGATAATCCTTAAAGTAGTTCTGACCTTTAGGTATATATAAAACAAAGCTACCCTTCTTTTATAACGGTAACAATAATTTGTCACCTTGTATTACCACTTTTCAAAAGTAACTCTTGTATATTGTGTCTAAATGTAAACTAAAAGGAACAGTAACTCAAACCACCTCAGATTTGATTCCCAGGTTTTTAAAAAAAATTAGTTTATTTAAGTACCTAGCCGTCCTCAAAAACTAGAGTAGCTAATTGCTCACTAGCTGCATGTAACTCCAGAAACAGAATTAGATTGCATTTAGATTTCTGAAAATAATTTGCATTTCTATCAAGGGCAGGAATTCAGATAATCAGTCTATTATAAATAGATCTAATTCATTTTGAAAAATGTTTAAAAGCTCTCTGACAAGACAGATGAAATGTATAAATTCTAAATCATGTCTTTTTACACTAATCATATTGAAATACTTTCTTTTTAAGTACCAATCAAATCCAGTTTCCTTTCCTAGTTGTGCTGGCTTTGGCTGGGATAGAGTTCGTTTTCTTCACAGTATCTGGTATGTAGCTAGTATGCGGCTCTGTTCTGGATTTGTGCTGAAAACAGTGTTGATAACACAGAGATGTTATCATTACTGCTGAGCAGTGCTTGCACAGAGCCAAGGCCTTTTCTGCTCCTCACACCACCCCACCAGCGAGTACGCTGGGGGTGCACAAGGAGCTGGGAGGGGAGACAGCCAGGACAGCTGACCCCAACTGACCAAAGGGATATTCCATACCATATGGCATCATGCGCCACATATTAGGGGCTGGGGGGAAAGGAAGGAGGCAGGGGAACACGTTCAGAGTCAGATGGCATTTGTCTTCTGAAGTCACCGTTAGGCATGATGGAGCCCTGCTTTCTTGGAGATGGCTGAACACCTGCCTGCCCGTGGTGAATGAATCCCTTGTTTGGCTTTGCCTGCACGTGCTGCTTTTGCTTTACCTGTTAAACTGTCTTTATCTCAACCCACG